TGTAATGTTTAATGAACAAACCTGCTCTGTGTAACCGAAGCTGAGGGTTGAAAACAGCGTCCAGTAGTTTCCGTTGTCGCTCGTTCTCCTCTTTTGATCGACAAAGTTCCTCCTCGTACTCTGCTATCGTTCTTTCAAACAGCCCAAATATCTCTTCAGCAGCCGCAGTTAGTCGCTGCTTCAACAACGATCTCAGCATTTGGACTTTAGACATGTTCACACTTTAAAAACACAACAAAGTCACTCTGCTAACACTTGTTTCTGCTGGATGCCATCTTTGTTCATTGTGAAGTTAGCCACAGTAAATAATACAACTTCCGGGTCGATCAGTTACTGAGCTTCAAAATAAAAGTCAAAAAGTTCATGTTCAAACTGTTGGTTATATTTACAGTGCTGTTTATTTAATACAAAATATTGTAGCATGTGTCACAAGGTCCTCAAAGTGAAAGCTGTAAATATATTAGTATAACCTCTATGCTGCTATTGTTGTCATCCTAAACCAGAACCACTGAGAGCTTTTTGAGGTTTAGCAGGCGTTTAAAAATCAGTGATGGTAAAAGATGTTCAGAAAAGGTTCAAAAAGTTTTTTCACCGGTTATTGGAAGACGTTGATTGAACGGTTACATGTAGACCATATTTCACTGAAATTAGCAATACTGACTTTCAACTTAACAATCTGGATGTGATTTATACATTAGGCTCTAAAATGATGATAGGGCATCATTTGCACATTGCAGAGGTGAAAAACCCCACCATTGCAAGTCCCAGTGAGACACCTTCCCCTGAAAGTCCACTCTGAGATTACAATCAGAGGCTTGTCATGTGTCATGTTCAGTTGTTGAGGCGATTTGTCCCAATTCTCATCTCTCCATTTCCTCCTCATTTGTATTTACTTACGTCACTGTGATCAAAGGGATTCACCTTAGTTTCCTTATTGCAGGGGAAAGGACTGGTATTTACACTGGCGTTTTCCATAAGGCTCTCCAGACAGGCTCATAACATCATGAACCAGGGGTCGCGTTAACCGGATATTCTCGGTCATTGACCGTTTTTTTTACAACAATGACCGGACAATCTGAAGGCCGTCGGTCATTTTGACCGGTTGCAATTACCACCCCTGCCCACTTGGCGGCGGAGTGCACAGTCAGTGGTTTAAGTGGCTGCCGTTTTCACACTGTCTGCAGAGAAAAAGTCATTCATCTGCTTCATGTAGCGTTGTTGACATAACGCCCTGGACACACCGGACACGGAACCGAAGCACGGCGCCCAGCAGCGGAGGCAGTTTTCAGTCAGCGCCCATGTTAACCTATCTGACTGTCCACACAGGCCGCTGAGCAGAGCGGAGCGCCTGCGGAGGCAGCGCTTCAGTTCGGCGTCTGGTCTATTTTTCATGCGAGCCGCGAGCGCTTCTGTCAAGCTGGATCGAGCGGATCGTACCAAACAGGAAGTCGGACACAGAAAAGACGAGAGAATCCGGCCAATTTTCAAAATAAAATAACAACAGCACACACTGAGGAACGTGAGGAGAAAATACCGTGTTTATCATTTAAAATAACACAACAGTGCATAACCGAACACATTTTTCAATACCCTAATCACTTCATTACAATTTTAATTTTGTGTCACCGAGCCTACAGGCATAACTACATAACGCCCTGGACACACCGGACGCGTTAGTG